ATCATTCTAGCTATAGCGAAAATGCAGTTTCCAATGATTTTCATCATTTCAGCGCAAGCTTCCACAACCGTCGAAGAGCCCTCATTATATGACCCATGTTTATCCACAGGTACTTCGACAATGTGGGCAACATCTGCAGCGACCAGTAAGACAAACCTTGATCATTAGAACTACGAGAGACATGTAATTTCGAATTGCCTTCACTTCAGCGCCAAGTTCCACAACATTTTCAAGTACCGTAGTAACCACCCCGACAAGTGAGGCATCATCTACAACAGCCAACTGTATGACTTTCTAAAATCCCACAATTGTGCAAGCAATATGTAATTGACTGTTCATATGATTTCAGCCGAAACTTCCACCGACAGCAGTGGAACATCAAGTGAGTTGACAAACTCAAAGTATTTCAGAGGCAGCGGTCACAATAGTTCGTTGAATCGTGAGAGGGCATCCCCCGGTTAATCATCCAATTTTTTAAATTTTACGATTCTCCTGTCGGAAGTATTGATACCGCTCTACTTCCACGCGGGCCACAGCAGAGCATTGGAAAAGCTGAAGGGTGCGCCAGTGGTTGAATTCCTGCGACTACGCAGTGTGCTTTGCAAAAGAGCACGGATCCTTCTCTCAGGACACGGAAAGAAGACTGGCGCAAAATAGCTCCAAATGGACATAACCTACACCAGAAGTACATTTTTTCCAAAACCCTAGATCTCTATTTCAAAAGTCTTCAACGTAACCTGAGGGGCGAGCTCTCTCTGAATTCGAAGGAGATCAAATTTTCAGCTAACAGAGCAGTTCTACCTCTCAAAACGCATAACTTTTATCTAATGGTTTTCTTTTTCCTCGAGAAACTGTGATGGTATTCCGAGAAGCACCATTTTTGTATTCTCTAAAAAGTATTGGAAATATGTAGGGATTCGCTTCTCCAAAATATCGCACCTTTATTCCCCTTTTTGTCACATGCGAATTTCAGCTCTTAAGTAATCTTCAAACATACTGTCAGAATTCTGCAACTTCGTAGAAAATTTACAGTTTTGACATTTTTGATGGGCACTGAAAATGTTCCAATGTTTCACCAAGCGGAAATTAGTCCTGCTGATCTTTCTCTTCAGGGAAGGGAAGGGAGGGGGAGGGGGTATGCGGTGCAATTTTTGTGAGCATGCGGGTTTTTCAGCTTTTGAAAAAGCATCTCCAACACTTTTTCAAATTTATATTTCCCATAGTGGCATGAGTATAGGTTCCCAACAAACAATAAGACATCACTAAAAATTTACGGACCCAATATTTTTTTTGTAAACATTTTCTTTTCGGGTTGGCCACAAGCCGATCATTCCTTATGATGCAATATTCTGCGCGTGTGATGAAATGAAGATGAAACGGTTTGCACCAAACGATTCCCGCCAATTCCCCCAATTTGTGGTTTGAAAGTCTTCAAAGCATCTTCGAGCCTATACTCCTTCTTTATACCTTGTCAAGGCAATGAATCGAACCCTAGTCGATCTCTCAGACTCGGCGTCTACGACCACTTCCTCACACCCTTTTCATACTTTGCGCCGGCGCGGACACTGCCAATAGGGCGGTCAGTGCAAACAGTGCGGAAAGCATTTCTCCAATTTCTTCTTGTAACCTCGGCATGTCAGTTGTAAGTTTAACAAATTTTCTTGTGCCTTACGAGGTTGTTCGGTGGAACTTTATTAATGGCCTAACGTTTCGACTGAATCGTCGTCTTCAGAGGCCGTCGGTTCCACCCTTCGAGCGTTATAGTTTTAACTTTACTTTCTAACTGATCAGCGCTCTGTGTGGCAGCGGACTTTTCCGCTCGAAGGGTGGAACCGACGGCCTCTGAAGACGACGATTCAGTCGAAACGTTAGGCCATTAATAAAAGGTTCCACCGAACAACCTCGTAAGGCACAAGAAAATTTGTTAAACTTCGACAACTAAAGTGCGCGAGAAAGTCACAACGCACTGGCACATGACCCGTATGTGGCGCAGGGTCGGTGCCCTTCAATCTACTAATTTCAATTCCATACATCCCGTATATTTTTCGATATTCTACTGTCGTGTTGATTTCGACCTTCTTTTCTAGCCGAAACTTTCTCTTTTTCATATAAGTTATTATTCTCCAGTAGTCCTGTAGCGTTAGCCTAGTGCAGTTGCATGTGGATGTGGCGGTAAGCATAATTAAGCTAATTAGTGCACAAACTAGAAGGACATCACAGAAAGCAACTCAGCACGTAGAACATCAAAAATATGCAGAATGTGTTGAAACTGAAACTGGTCTTTCGAAATGCACCGTCTGGGTTCGTCCCGTTAGCGTCATGAATCGGCGTGTTTTGACGCTTTTCGCACTGTCCGCGCTTACCCCACTAACCGCAGTGTCCGGGCCGGTGTAAAGTATGAAAGGGCCCAACGGTCAAACACGACCCTCCTAGCTGACCTTAGCACAACGGGCAGCTACTCCTTGTTTCTATATCTAAATACATGGCTAGTCGCGATTCATCCGTTTCCAAAGTCAATGCTTAGAAAGAGGGTTACATTCCTCTGGTTCTCGTCAAATTGACGTTAGTGCTGCGTTGACTGTGTGCCTTGCTAATTCAGGCGTTCAGCTGAGTTCAAGTAAATGCATTTATTCCGAGAGACAAAAGGGACAGTTGACCATAAAATGGATAACAAGTTGATAGAAGTCACTGCGAACACGAGGGGAGAAATTTTTCTTGCAACATATCATAGCTTCTACTTCTATAGATTCCAAATGAGCTGACTCGAAGCTTTGACTAAGGCTATGAGTTTCAGGCCAAAGCAAACTCTTTCTCAGTGCTCTCAACCAGTACAGAGAAATTGCAGCACAGGGAAAATTCGTGACAAATTACGGGCAGTCGCTACCTCCTTCTTCCACTATGTCCTCACTGGTACGTCACTAAGCAATGACATTGCGACTAATTCCACAACCAGCAAACGAGCATGTCCGCTACTAGAATTGAGTAAGGACGGTAAAGTAACTCAGTCGTTTTCAATGGATACTGGATGAGTGAGTCGCTTTCAATGGATACTGGATGAGTGTGTGTGTAGTGTTTCAATACGGTTCGTGATGGAACACGGTGAGCACGGTGAGATCTTTCCAGCTCTGGGTATTTTCCGTTCATCCTGACAGAACGTCGGAAAGGCAAGAGGGAAGTTAGGATTTTAGGACAGTGCGTGGAGAAGTTTTTTTTTCTAGCTATTGTTTATTACTTGTGAGCACATAATTGTCATTATAGCGAAATTTGGAAGCTATTTCTAGCAACACACAATGAAGTAGGCAAGTTTAGCGCATAATTAGGAAGGGGAAGATTGTCTGAAGCAAACTCTAGCAGGATTAGAAAGA